CAAACAAAAGAAACAAACAAACAACAAAGCCAAAAAAAACCCAAAAAAAAACAGCACTGACCCCATTTACACCACCTTGCTTCCCTGGAATCTGATACCAGTAAAGCGGCACCTTAACCATCACTGCTTGGCTTACCCTGCCACCTTGTGGCCGTATCCTAGACTGCACTAGGAGACCTGCCTCCTAAAACCCAGCTGCCAGAGGAGCAATAAAACCAAATGGAACTCTAAAGCACACACTAACTCTTTCACTGCTTCTTTCAACAAACCTGTACAGATGGTTTCCAGGATGAGGAAATTCATGGACGGTTGATATTGAAAGACTTCCTGGTTAGGGGTGGTGGGGCAGAGTCGGAGAAAAAGGACATGCCGAGTGGCAGTGTGGTGTGTACGAAGACACTGGTATGTTTGGGAAAGGATGCATTTCCCTATGTGACTCAATATTAGGGAACACCAGGTAGAAGTAGTGGTAGCAGGGACAAAGTACAAAGAAGAGATGAGGATGGTGCCACTTTCTGAGAGCATGTCACCAGCCCCCCTCCCTCAAACAATTTTTGTCATAGGTTGAATTGTACATCCCCCAAAAATTCATATGTTGAAGTTCTAACCCCCATGCTTGAGAATATGACCTGATTTGGAAATAGGGTGGTTGTAGGTATCATCGGTGAAGATGAGGTCATCGGGCAGGCTCTACTCCAATTTGATTGGGATCCATTAAAAAAGGGGGGGAAGTTTGGAGACACAGGAAGAATGTCGTGTGAAGAGGCAGACAGATATCAAGGTGATGCTTCTACAAGCGAAGGATTGTAAGCAAGCCACCAGAAGCTAGGGGAGAAGACTGTGATAGCATTCTTCCTCACAGCCCTCAGGAGGAACTAAAGGTGGACACCTTGATCTGACTTCTGGCCTTTAGAACTGTGAGACAATACATTTCTGTTGTCAGAGTCACTCCACTGGTGGCAGCCCTAGCAAACCAAACCACCTGCAGAGCGATGGCTCCCATCATCCATGTCAAGGAGGGCCGCTCTGTCTTGACAGAAGAGGCACTGCAGCTTCACAGAAGGGAAGGGAGACCCTTGAAAGCCCCCAGAAGGCTTCTGCCTGGTAAATCCTCAAAAAACAGCCCTAACCGGTTTGACTCAGTGAATAGAGTGTAGGTCTGCGGACTGAATGGTCCCAGGTTCGATTTCACTCAAGGTTATGTACCTTGGTTGCAGGCACATTCCAGTGGGGGGTGTGCAGGAGGCAGCTGATCAATGTTTCTCTCTCATCTATGATTCTTACTCTATTCCTCTCCCTTCCTCTCTGTAAAACATCAATAAAATATATATTTTTTTAAAAAACAAAAACTTGCCATTCTGAGCACACCCCTCGCAAAGCCCCTGAATCCTCAGGAATGCCATTTACCAGCTGTAATGTTGTAACTCTGTTTCTTTGAGATCCTGCTTCCATATTTGTCCATGTTTGGTTTTCCCAACTTGAAGAATGGGACAATGTTACAAGCCAAACTAGGAGTCCGTAGACCTCTTCCAAAGTTCTTGGTGCGACCTTTTAAGAGTGTCCCTTTCCCCTCTAGCATAGTTTCTTCATTTGTAGACTAGAATCATCATCACTAAGGCCCCTCTGGTTGTAATATTTGGCTTTGACCCTAAGCCTGCTTGTTACTCACTAACCTGCCTGGTTGATGTGCAAAAGGCAGGGAGAGCTCCAGGGAGCTCATCTCTGAGAAGTGCTCAGAAGTCTGTCATTGCTGCTGAATGAGTCAGCCTCACTTACTAAGAGGTTAACCCTGGGACTTAGGGAGTATTATAATAGTTCAGGCCTCCAAAATCCCTGAGTCCCCTTCCCAGACTGCAGAGCCCCCCTGCCTCATACCTGTATTTCTAGAAGGCCACTTCCTTAGGAATCACGGAGGATTTCTTCTCCTTCACTGAAGGTGCATGGCCCTGGACACTGGATCATGTACTCTCCCAGGGGACTGGGCTCCTTCATGCCTCTTAGAAGCTTCCTGCAGTTGCTTTGGGGCTTGGAGGAGCATTGTTTTTCCAAGTGGTTACAGTATTTGGGGTAGAGCACTTTTTGGGTCTTACCTGGGAGGGATCACAGCATGCATCAGCCTTTAGTATCAAGAGCCTAGACTCAATTTAAGAGTATAGAAGGGTCTTCTGAGTGGCAGACACCCCAGAGACCTGGACACCTGAGTAAATTGTGCTGTTTACTCCGGTGGAATTGGGCCTGAACAGGCAGTCAGACATCCCTCTCGCAATCCAGGACTGCTGGCTCCCCATTACTCACCTGCCTGCCTGCCTTCCTGATTGTCCCTAACTGCTTCTGCCTGCCAGCCTGATCACTCTCTAACCCACATGTGTCAAACACAAGGCCCGCGGGCCAAATCCGTCCCGCCAGGCCTTGCAATGTGGCCCGCACCGCGCTGTCATCACTGCACTCCGCTGCGTTTCCATCACAATGACAGTTTATGACTGTTCAGTAAACCATTTGGCCCGCGATTTAGGCTGGATTTTAGATTTTGGCCCCTTCTCTGATTGAGTTCGACACCCCTACTCTAACCACTCCCATGCCAGCCTGATTGATGCCTAACTGCTCTCCTGCCAGCCCCATTGCCTCTAACCTGCCTGTGGTTGGTCGGCCTTGGATGTAGTGTCCATCCTTAGGCAAATTAGTGGTCAGGGGAGTGGTCACATGCTATAGGATATGGCTGCCCAAGTTCTGACTCCAACAGGGACTGAGACAAAGTTTCTGGTGGAGCAGCTTCTGTGAGCAGGTGCAGTATGATGTGTTTTTATGGGCCCCTGGTTCAATTGTAACTCTTGGGCACTGTCTCTATCCTGGAATTTCTGAGGTGAGCGTGCAGTTCCCAGCCCCCATAAGCTCTGCTTTGAAGGGTGACTTTGATAATTAATGTGATCATTTATACAAAAGTGCTTTGAATATCATAACCACCTCACAAATGCAAGATATTATTATCACTGTTTAACACACTTATTGCTATGAGTGGCACAGAGAGAGGAATGGGGACCCAGATTCCAAAGATAGCCCCTTTTCCTCAAGAAAAGAAAATGATTGAAGTTTCACCAACGACCAGTTGTGTGAACTCAGACTAGTTAGCCACTACTTGGCTGGATGACCTCTGCCAAGTCCCTGCCTCAGTTTCCTTATATCTGAAATGGGAACATTTGCATCTGTTCTTCCTTGTCTCGGATTGGAGTGAGGAGCGGAAGCCCACCCTCCACTCTCTGTCCCAGGACACTGGATGAGGACAATGGGCAAGTTCTTGCATGTCTCCTATCTCAGTCCTTTCATGGGTAGATGACAGACTTGAATTAGGTGATCCTTATCATCCTCCATCCTTTCCAGCTTCTAAGCTGCTCTGCTTGATTCCAACCACCCCACTTCTCTGGATCTACCCTCCAACCACCACCCTGGTCTTGAGAAACCCTCCCCTTAAAAATCCCACAAAACAGAGAAGGACCTCAGGCGCTGCTGTTTTGAAAGTTGATGTGTTTGTGAAATGTTGCCTTCACGTCAGGCTTTTGTAATAAAAAATTGTCTATTCCCTTTGCCCTAGCTTATCTGTTTAGAGATGTTTGCTTTTTACTTGTTATTGATCGTCAATTGGCTACAGTTACTCACTCTTTGATCTTCCTTTTTGTTTGAACTTGAAGCCACCCACACTGTCTACCTAGCCCCCCCTAGACTCTTTATTAAACAGTAATGATATATAAACAAACGCCTAGTCCCTCAGGGAACCAAGGGGTTCTGGGGCCAGCCTCCCTCGGGCCTGTGAATTGTCATTCCTGAAGCTGTCTGTTTTTTAAGTTCTTTTGCCAAGTTTCTATGGGAGCAGAGGGATCACTTTCTCCCTTTTCAAAGAGCAGGGTGAGCTGAGGCCTCGAGCTGGCAAGTTCTTTAAAGTCATTTTCAAAGGAAACCTGAGCTGGAAGGCCATGTGGCTGGCAGAGGGTAGTGTGACTTTCGGAGGCTCTCTCTGGGGCTTTGGGTGGTCAGCTCCCGGGAGCTTCCCAGCACGTGCTCAGGGCCTGCTGCAAAGGCACTGCCAGGATACACCATCCTGTCACCGGCCACCCAAGCACTCAGGAAAGGCTTTGCTCCATGTCCCTGGCCCGCAGGCAGGGGGGTGTACAGACTTTCTCCTCTGGGCCAGGGGCCAGGACCACGCTGGTCCTCACTGTTCCTAGGCCTCGTCAATCAAACTTGGGGTTTTTTGAGGTAAAGGAAAACTAGGTTGAATTTATAGCTGAATCATGACATCATAAGTGATCTAGATAATCCAATCCCTTCACGGGCAGGCTGGGATGGGGACCCAGAGAATAATGATTGTTCCCCACACATGGGAGGAGCTGGCTGAACTCCCACCAGAGTTCTTTGGACATGGACCATTCTGCAGTGATGGAGGTTTGTCTGGCTAGCAGCCATTCATAAAGGTTCCAAGTCTATAGATGTTTGCCCACTGCTTAGCAGATACCAGAAAGACACCGATGCTGAGAGATGTATGACTGGGGTCAGAGGCCTACATGCCATCCTCCAGTCTAGACCCAAGCAAAGTTGTTTATGAAGCCAGGAGGCAAGATGAACCCTCTTCCATCCCAGAATGGGCAAATTCTCCAAGCTCGGAGGAAGAATGGACTCACATACACTTGTGTCAAAAGGGCTAGAACTGAAGTCATCAAAAGCTCAGCCTAGAACCTTGAGTAGAAAACAAACAACAACAACAAAAACACAGAGGAGGGGACCAGCCAGAAAGAGAGGTGAGAGATCCATCCAAAACCCCCCACCGAAGGTCACAACCAGGGCCTGGTGTTTGTGATCCTTCCTAGGGCTGGGAGATGGAGCCCCGGCCTTGGTTCCTACACTCCCCCTGCCTGCGGCCCTGAGCACTCCCCACTGTGTTAAGAGCAGAGGAAACCAGACCCATTTAAGTTCCAATTCCAACACAAAGAAAGACCCCTGAACGAGGTGACTCAACTTTTCAACATTTTATTCTTGTATTTGTACAGCTATATGTTACAACGCGGTAATGCAGTTTAGACACAGCCAAACCCTGTCTCCGGAGCAGTTCTAACACAAGCACGACGCAGAATGTGATGGATGAGACAAACATTACCAAAGAGGCTGTTAGCCACAACTTCCAGGCCCTGTGTCTGCCTACACTTCAGAAAGGGATGGAGCGCTCGCCGATCCATCGTTGAAAACTTCCATGAAAAAGGCACCGTAGGACACGTTGTATAGGTATATACAAACCGGAAACTAGAACAAAACACATTTTTTCCTTCCATAGCTTTTTTTTTTTTTTTTTTTTTTTTTTTTTTTTTAATACACACTTGTAAATTGTAAACCTTCACTTGCAAAAAAATACAAATACACTGAGGCATTTTAGACAAAATATTTTCTTACTTAAACAGATGCAATACTTAAAATAGTCTCTTAAGTGCTCTTTCTCAATAAAGATTCTCAGATCCGTGTCTGCCTGCAGATACAAAATCGAGCCTTTAACGCAATGTCATATTTTTAATATATCTTTTTTAGGTTTATATATATTTATTATATATATATATTTATATATTTACAACTCTGCCATATATTCCTTCACCTTTGGTTAAAAAAATTAAAGCCCTCTGATAACATACCGAAGTCTCTGCTTTTAAAAGAAAGCACATTTACATACAAAAGAAACATCTGTTCCCACAAAACATATACATTCCTCATTTTGCAGACTAAGTCAAGTCAGAGCTTTTGCCTACTTCCCCACTTGGCTGTACAAAATGATTCTGCTTTTTTGCTGACATGGTTTGCCTTGCACATAGGAGAAGAAGCAATATTATTTTCTTAATGTTGGATGGCAGTGGGGGAAGGGGAGCTGCCTTGGCTCCCAGTCCCCACACCTCCCCCCCACCCCCACCCCCCATACCCAGCTATGATTTGCACTAGTTGATGAAAGAGGCACTACATCATGGGATGAATGCTGTAAAGTGTTACAGTATCCTTTGGGTAGATTCTGAGAAGGGGCTTGAATGGAAAGCGTCAACACTCCATGCTTCAGCAGGCCTTGGGCAGCTCTGGGGGCAGGTCGGTGGCAGACACGCGGTATTGCACCTTGGTGTTGGTGATGGCGCCATGCTTCTGGCGCAAGTGGAGACGCAGCTGGCTTTTGTGACGGAAATGCAGGTTACACTTCTCGCACTGAGGGAAAACCAGAGGTAAGCGGTTAGCTGTTGTTGATCCAAGAAACACGTCATGTTCAAAGACCCAGAGAAGGAGCTGAGCCCTGTCTCCCTGTGAGCCAGCCAGGAGCTGTTTCCTCTTAGTGGTTACGAGCCCACCTGAATCTGGGGTCCTGCTAAGGGACCAGTACCGCTTTGTGCCAATGTCCCTTCCCTGCTTTCCAAAACGTGGCTCATACTTTTCTCCTGCTTAAACTGTATTTCCCTGACTTAACTCCACAAGTTCAAATCTTATCCAAAAGTGCAGCTCAGATGAAAACTCCCCTAATTATTAAGGAATCCCTAAATCTCTCTAGAATAAAAAGACTCCCTCTTCCCTTTGAACCCCTGTAAGATTTCTAGCCTTGTCTTATTAGGTGGGAAATGCTTAGTATAACTCCTTACTAAACTTCATAATCTACTTAGTATCTAGTAGAATATACTTCTTAGACAATTACACATTAAATCTGAACACATTTGGACAAATGGACTGAATCATGAAAATTAATGAGTCTAAAGATATGCCTTAAAAACACAGTTAGACTCCTTCTTACTTTAAGTAAGCTAACAAGGCATCCCCAAGTAGAGCTGTTTCTAACTTCGATTCAATGAATGGATGCTAATGGTTTTAGTGTAAGAGTTACTTAAAAGTAAAATGAATGATTCTATGGGGTAACCTGAATATAATCCTCGAAGAGAAAAAGGGAAATTTAGGTAAAAAGTAAAAATATCCAAATAAAGTATGGACTTTAGTTTGCAATAACGTATCAATATGGGTGCATTAGTTGTGACATCCTGACGTAAGACATTAACAACAGGGGAAACTGGGCACACCTAGGAGCTCCCTGCACCTCCTTTGCAACTTTTCTATAAATGTAAATATCTGTGTTTTCTAATTGTCTCAGGTGACCCTGTTAGCGGTTCTCAACCTGTGTCTCAACCTATAGGTTGAGAACCACTGCTGTAGAGCCTAAGACCATAAAAAAAAAACACAGAGATATTTACATTACAATTCATAACTAACAAAATTACAGTTATGAAATAACAACAAAAATAACTTTATGGTTGGGAGTCACCACAACATGAGGAACTGTATCAAAGGGTTGTTGCATTAGAAAGTTTGAGAACCGCTGTTCTAGAGGATAATTATAATAGCAAATAGTTATTTTCCTCTTACTACATTCTATCGCTCTGCGCACTTCAGCAAATCCATTAACTTAATATAACTCTATATGTTAGGTCCTCTTCTGGGCTCAATTTATAAGTAATAAAATTAAGGTACTGAGAGAATAACCAATACACCCAAGAATAAATAGCATGTAAAAATATATTCATTCAAGGATTGGTAAACAAAACAATGAAAATAACCCCATTTTGCTGCTAACATTTGTGCTATGGGTTAACCATTCATCAATTCGTTTTTGTGCTCATCACTAACTAGAGTGATGCCATATTCTCTTTTCAGGTTAAATGGAAACTAGAGAAGATAAAAGAGGCTGCTGTCTCAATACTGCCCTGAAGGGCCACAGACCTCAGTGACCAAAAGAGCACAATTTGAAAACTGTGGAGCAGGGCTTGCCCAAGGCCAGAATAAGAACCGAGATATCTCAGCCTGCCTGTCCAGTGTCTTCCCCCTTTATAGCAGACATCTGCAAACTATTCCTCTATGGAGCCAGACAGTAAATATTTTAGGTTTCGTGGGATATTTTACATTCTCTAACACAACAACTCAGCTCTGCTGCTGTGTTGTCAAAAGTGGCCACAGACAATCCATAAATTAGTAAGCAAGGCTGTGTTCCAATAAAACCTTGCTTGTGGACTTTGAAATTTAAATCTTGTAAAATTTGCACATATCACAAAATATTGTTCTTCTTGTTTTTTTTACACACTTGAGTGTATAAAAACCATTCTTAGCTCATGGAATGTTAAAAATAAATTAGCTTATAAGCCATTAATCTGCAGAGTCCCTGCCATGGAACACCATGATTCTGATGGGCCAAGCATGGCTTCAGGCTGCTGGCTACCTGTTCCTTTCCTTCTTCAAATGTTCGTTTCTCTGTTTTATTTTATGTCACCACATTCTTCTACCCCTAATGCTGTGGTTGGCTGCTCCTTCTCAAACTCCTTAGCTTGTCTTCAGTAGACAACAAGCCCAGCACTGAGGCATACAGTAAGCACTCCATAGCATTTTGAAATGAATAAATGAATGACTCTATCATTTATGTATTCGTAATTCAGGCCTCTTTCCTAAGGCCCAGCTCACTAATACCCCTACTTTAAATATCAGCAAACTGAGACACAGGCCAAGCAGGGTGTCTTTGAAAAATCAGGCCCAAATCCACGGCTATGACCATAAGTCCAGTGACCATCCCACTGGGCACTTGAGACAAGAGCAAACAGTCCTGCTGCCCTGCCACTCCATATCCTTGTCCCTCCCAGGTCAACCAGTAGCCACAAAGGCTCCCTTACATGGTAAGGTTTCTCTCCCGTGTGGATTCGCAGGTGGCTCTTTAGAGTCTGCAGATGACGGAAACGGGTGCCACAGATTTCACACGGATAGGGCTTCTCGCCAGTATGGATAAGCACGTGGGCACGGAGGTGAGCCACCTGGACAGAAAAGCAAAGCGTGAGAGGCTCTGTCGGGGTGAGCTGCACCCCCCTGGGCAGCCACATGCCCAGGCTGAGGGGCCCTTTCCCGTGCCCCCGGCTCACCTGTACAAATCTGGCTCCGCAGGTTTCACATTTGTAGGGCTTCTCTCCAGAGTGAATTCGAGTGTGGGTTTTCAGGTTCGCCGGTCGGTTGAACTGGGCCCCACAGATGTTACAACGATAGGGTTTCTCACCTATTACCAAGGGAAAAGGGAAAAGGATAGCTATACTCAATGGAGGTCAACATAGTCCCTGGCTCCTAGGTTTCAAAGCAAACTGCCCTTCCCAGGGCTGTTTTGACTTTCTGTCCCTTAGAAGGTGTCAAAGAGAGGATCCAGGGACCTGCCTACCCTATCCCCATACACACAACAGCACCCCTTGGTCAGAGTTTAAAAGCACGAAGGAGTAGAAACAATACTGGTGTGGAACAGCGATAGAGTGAAGTTCCAGAAAGCCCTGGAACCAGCTTTGTCATCAGGATCATCTAACAGTGGGACTCGGAAAAGTCACTGAGCCTCAGTTTCCCTCTCTAGAACCCCAGGGGCGAATGTTGGAGACTTGGAAAGGCTCTTCTAGCTCTCCGTTTGGATAAGACTGATTCAGTAGTCAACCCACTGAGATAACATCAGGCTGTTCTAGTTTCTTTCAAAACAAACGTGCTTTTCCGCTTGTGGCAACTACAGCTGGATTCCATTTGCAAAGGAGGTGGGGCCTGAGTTGGATGTGATGTTCAAACAGAGGAAGCTAATAGAGGGCTGTGCCTTCCTTCATGGAAAGTTTCTGAGATAAAGGACCCATTTAAAATACCAAGAGAGAGTCAACTTTGGACAACAATCCGGTTATTAGAAGCTACCTGGTAAAGGAATGTGAGTTGATAAGGAATAGGCCCTTAGAGGAAATCAAGAGGCCTTTAGTTTTGTTTGTTTTTTTCTGGCTTTGCAAAAACCAAATCTATTTTGTGTCTCTCAGCCTTAGTTTCTCCTCCTCAACAGTGGGAAACTGTCTTTAGCGAAAGAAGAAAAGCAAGACAGAGAAGCTCAGAGAAAAGACGAAGGGTACATGGAGTGGACCAGCCACTAAGCAAAGATGTGACAGGGCCAGAGCCCTCATTCAGGCCAGAACGGGGCCTGCTCTCTACCTCACCCCACTGGTACCAAGCCCCCAGACTGCTTTCTCTGGAATCCTCTCCCTTTCCTGACCCCATTGACATCAGCAAGCTCAGGAGGGGGGAGGGGGGGGGGCAGGGCCATACCTGTATGGACGGTCTTGTGACTGGCAAGGTTGCCCTTGTAGCGGAAAGAGGCCTGGCAGCGGTCACACTTGTAGGGTTTGTCACTGTGGGTCTGCAGCATGTGCCTCTTGAGCGAGGCCTCCTCAGAGAAGCGGCAGTCACACTCATTGCAGAAGAAGGCCCCATTCTCTGTCAAAGGGTGGGAGGGGACACTCTCATTAGCGGGAGCAAGAGAGATGGGGCTCCAAGGCCCTTCACCTCCATAGCCACCCCAGCGCCCCTGGCCACCCAACATACAAGGGAGCCCCGAGCCAAGGGCCTGTGGAGATTTTCTGTTTCTTAGCATTTAGAATCTCAGTCGCAAAGGAGAAAGGACACATTTGAATACTAAGGAAGCTGGAACCAGCAGGTACCCACATGGCCCACAGCAGCTTGAGAGGAAAGCACCTCGGGGCTCTCCCTTTTCTGGAGAGTGCTGGGAACTGGCTGCTCTTATCAGTTCACAGTTTTATTTGTATTCATTCACAGATGCACTTCAGGTCCCTGAGCCTAAGTCTGTGTCTCTATCTCCAAAATCATGATAATAACCCCTGTCCTACCTGCTTCATGGGAGCACCTGACATAACAAAAGCAGCAGGAATGTAAGATTAAATCAAATGCAATGCTACTTTGAAGTCATTTGGGAAGACCAATGACAAACATGGTCACCCTTGCACCAATCTGCATTTCATGTCTCCCAAAGATTTGTGAGACCGGGAGACTACAGATGATGGTGGGAGTAGAAATAGAGGCCCAGAGAGAAGGAGGTCAAGTGCAGAACAAAGGCAATTGGCCAGGGGGACAGCTATTCAGAAACTTCAATTTAATAGTTCTGTTCAACTAATCTAGTTCAGCTAACATTTCCTGAGTACCCACTCTGCTCTAAAGACTCCCTAGGGCCTATGGGAGTTGCAGGAGTGAGTCAGTGCAGATGCCTCCTCTTTGGAATGGACAACCCAGCATTTTAGGTCCAGAGGGGCTAAGAAAGCACTGGGAGTTACAGCCCAACAAGCTTCCTTTTTTTGGAATGAAGCTACCAAGTCTCTTTGCTCATTCTCTGTTACCCAAGGTGAACTCTTACACTCCATCTTCTGCTTTGGTCTACCTAGTTCCCTACAAGGTCAAGAGTGGAGTGACCAGCTGGTGCCAGTGGACTTCATCAGGAATTTCTCCCAATCAATGTCAATGCGTAAATACTAGTACAGTGGAACACAAGCTCTACAAAGCAGAGGCAGGGGTGGGCCTTCTCCCTGGCCGGAGGGGGCAGAAGGTGGGACTCACCACAGCTGGAATCCGAGTACTCAGAGTGGGTCTCTCCCATCTCCTCCGGGAACGTGGGGCCGGTGGTGTGGAGGCACATCTCCGTGTGCTGAGGGGACTGAGAGCCACAGGACGTGCACTTCGGGGGGTGCAGGTAGAGGGGTGAGTGGCTCTCGCTGCTGCTGCGGGGGGAGCCTGTCAGAGACCTGTGGGAGGAAGAACAGAGTTTCAGCTGCTGAAGCAAAGGGGATCCCTTCCCTGGGCCCCACTCCCGGACCTATTGTAGTTTCTTTCCCACAGTACAGAGGAGGGAATTCCCTGGCTTGCTGTGGAAAAATCGCCTTCCTTACTGAGGCTAATTCAATCAGTCGGCACTTGTCCCACTCCTCTGATATGCTTCACATTTTAGTCAAGAAAAGAGCATGGCTTCTGCGTCCCTCAGAAGTGACACCTGGAACTCTGCTGGGTAACCCTGAGCCCAGGCCTAGACTGCCACTGCACTCACCTGTTGACGATGTTATTGAGCCGGCTGGCCTGTGGGATGGTGGAGTCCTCCCCACTGGCACTGAGCTTCACTGGAGACTGGAGGTCAAGGTTCTCCGGCTCCATGGGTGGCTGGCAGGCCGGTGGGGCAGGGTAGGCCCGAGGGGAAAGGCGGCCCAGCTCGGCCTGCTCGGGCTCCTCGGGCTTGGCATTCTGGTTGAGGCTATTGAGCACAATAAACTTGTATTTCTTCCAGTTGCAGGCTTTGGGGTCGGTGGGGCTCTTGGCTGGAGGGGAGCCAGAGGTCTGAAGGATGCAGGCGTTCTTGCTGCTGCAGGACTCTGTGGGCGAGTTGGGCTGGCAGTCGGACTTCTGGGGGCTCTGGGGACTAACCAGACCCTTCCGGTTTAGGGGGGCATTGTGGGGCTCGAAGTGCAGGGCGATTTCATCCTCTGAGGAGGGTCTCTCTTCCTCCTTGCCAGATTTATCACAGGGGAAGTATGGGACATTCCGGCCTGAAGGGGCAGCTGGCTTGGGGCCCTCGGCCACACTGTAGTGCATGTCACTCCGTGCCTCCTCTGGGGCCACCTCCTTGGGTGAGTAGATGCTGTGGCACACACTTGGGGGCATCTCCATGGCCACCCGGCTGTACTCCCCAGGCATTGGCCTGGCACTATCGCAAGGGAGGGTCCGCTCCTTGGGGAAGGGGTTGGCCACAGGCATCCGGGCATCCCGCAGCTCCTCATCGGAGAAGAGGAAGCTGCTGACGGGGAGGTGGCTGTACACGGGGTAAGACGCTGGCGGTGTGGACAGGCCACTGTACAGGCTGGGGGCGAAGGCTCTGCTCTCACACCCAGGGGGGTTCCTCAGTGGCAGGTTGTTCTCCATCACCTCACGGCCCCGATAGGCCATGATGTCTTGGGGCATCAGCATTCTGTTGTTCAGATACTCTTCACGGGGAGGCTTGATGGGAGGAACCATCTCTGCTTCACTGCAGGAGAAAGCAAGAGAAAACACCGGCCTCCGAATTAGAACTACTAAACAGATGACCTTCCAAGAGCCACTATCTGTGCAATCACAGTTGTGCTTGGGCCAACCAGACATAGGAAATGTGGCTTTTAAGAAGGGAAACACGTGCAATTACCATCGCTAATGCTTGAAGTCTAGCAATCTAGCCCACAGTTGGGTAAATAGGCCTAGAGAAGAGAAGAAAGTTACCCATACAATCTGAGCCTGTTTAAGTCACATACATGTGTAGAAACGTGAATCTGCAATTCTTTGGATCATTATGGAATGGAAAGCTTTCAGAGCCCTTATCTCAATTCACCCAGACAAAGTCCTGCAAGGAAGGGAATACTCGGTTACCACAGGCCACATTTTATACACACGGAAACCGAGGCTCAGGGAGGGAAGAATTCATAGTCCTGGTGCCACATGTGCAGAGGGTCATAGACAAATTGATGCCCTGGGGGGAAAAGGACTCGAGCCATAGGTACTTTGGAAAATAGGCAGCCTTGCTTGTACAGGAAGCCCTGACTATGAAACAGCCAGACCTGGCTTCCAATCCCAGCTGAGCCACTTAGCAGCTGTGTGACCTGGAGCAAGTTACTTAACCGCTCCAAGCACAGGGCCTGACCTAGAGAAAGCAGAAATGATGGCTCTTATGATCTTGCCACCATTATCACCCACAGGAAACAAAGAGTTCAAGTTGCATATACTGGAAGGGTCATTATGTGGGCAAAATATAGGCCAATTCAAACACGGTCACAGTTAATAGAGCTAGAACCAATGAGTGAAGATTAGGGAATCCATTTCAACTCTCCATAAAGAGGAGCTTTCTGACCGTCCAAGGTAAACTGCGTGGCTATGGGAACACTGCATTCCCAGCTCTTGGTTGGGTTCAGACAGAGGCTAGAAACCCTTCTGTTTGACAAGGGTTGCAATCACCCTTGAGCCGTGGTCAGCAAACTGCGGCTCGAGAGCCACATGTGTTTCTTTGGCCCCTTGAGTGTGGCTCTTCCACAAAAACCACAGCCTGGGCGAGTCTATTTTAAAGAAGTAACATTAGAAGAAGTTTAAGTTTAAAAAAGAAATTTCAGTCGTTGTACTGTTGATATTTGGCTCTGTTGACTAATGAGTTTGCTGGCCACTGCCCTAGAGCAGTGAATCAAATGGTTCTAAACAAAGCTCCTCCCTTCTTTGGCTCTCAGATTCCTCACCTTTACATAATGGTATGACTTCCCAGCCCTTGGATAGGGAGTTAGCTAAAATAGAAGAAAAATCTAAAGGATAGGCAAAGGCTTTGGAATAGAGAGAAAGAGCAGAAGGAAGAGCTGAGTGATAATCATAAAAACATCCACAGAGGAGCTGGCATCCAAGCGTGGCCTTACAGGGTAGGAGGGAGGAAAGGGCATGTCAAGTGAATGGGAGAGAGCTGGAGGTGAGGATGCACAAGGCGTATCTGGAGAGCAGTAAGGAGTCATGTTGGCTGGAGCACAGGATTTCGTAAGGGCAGAAGTGTACAAAAATAGATGAAATGTAGGTTGTGGCACATTATAGAGGATTTTTTTTTTTTTTCTGTATGCATGTAATGTTCAGGATTTCTCATCCCTTCTGATCCCTCTTATCTCCCAGGCTTCCACCTGGTAGAGCAGCTCACCTGGCCTTGATAAACTTCCGGCAAGTGTCCACGACATGCTCCATCTGCAGGTACATAGCTGTGGCCATCACGGCCATAATGTTGCCCTCCCGCAGGTTGAGCCGAGATGTGTACATGAAGTCCAGGAGGATGCAGAACCCCTCAGGGTTAATCTCAGGATCCAGGTTGATCACACTAAGGTTGCATTTCAACTGGTCTGTGAAGATGCTGTAGAACAGGCCACTGCAAAACAAACATATGTCTCACTATAGCAGGCATATAGACTCTCCTCAATTACAGTCAGCAACACGTGCAGCCCCTCTCCCCAGACCCTACCTCCAAAACTTCCACAGCGATTAATAATAGTGCCATTTACGGAGTGCTTACCAAATGCCAGTGAGTCATTAAGCACTTTTTATATATTACTAGAGGCCTAGTCCATGAAATTTGTGCACTCAGGAGGGATCCCTCAGCCCAGTCTGCACCCTCTTGCAGTCTGGAAGCTTCAGAGAATGTCTGACTGCCATAGAGATGGGAGAGGCTCCCACCACTGCTGCTGCACTCGCCTGTGGGAGCCCACGGACCACCAGGGGGCAACTCCTGGATTGAGCATCTGCCATCTGGTGGCCAGTGTGTGTCATAGCAACCAGTCATTCTGCTGTTTGGTCAATTTGCATATTAGCCTTTTTATTATATAGGATTCTTCACAACATTGCCAGGTAGATTCTATCATTCTCCTTCTTTTCAAATGAGGAAATGAAGATCAGAGGTGTGAAGTGTGTCTCTCAAAGTCCCAGAACCTGTTTTCCTTTTAGTGTTGTAACTGCACAGATGATCAGAGTTCATTTTAACACTCATCTGTAGTGACTATTTTTTATTTATATCTTTGAGATAAGCCTTGGTCCATCTCTTTATTCTTATTTTACAACTCTTACTGTATTTTTTTAAAAACCAAGTTGAGTAATGATAAATCAATAAAATGATGCCTACATTTACATTCTACTGATTTTTTTCTAAAATGCCATAAACTATCACAAGTTTAGTATTCCTAGAAGGTCCAAGTCAAGCCTCCAGGTAGCATGCTGTCTGGCTTAGGAAAGAGCGCTCAGAAGCCAAAAATCAGGGCTGCCACCTCAAGTCTACTCTTTCTGAGTGTGTTGCAGAAGTGAGCCACACTTCCACCAGTAAGAAGGAATGCAGCCTTGGGCAAGATACTTCTCTATACCTTGGTTCCTTATCTGCAAAGAAAAAACAATAGTATCTACCTTACAGGGTTGAGGCAAGAACATATAAAGGGTATAGAATGATGCTAGCACATAGTAAGCACTCAGTTACCATTAATTAAAAGAACAGGTGCTTCTTGTGGATGTCAAATAAGTTCTCTACTAGCTATTGATTCACCTGCCAGTGTCCTTGCTTTAGCATTTATATAACGGAGGCAATCATGCCATCCATGACACAGGCCATTATGAAGATCCAGGGAGATGATGTAATAAAAAATTGCTGTGAACACTTGAATATATGAAGAAATAGCTGGCTCACTTTCACTAATTTACCCATGGAAATACAGCCACAGTATGAAAGAAACACAATTATGGAGTAAGAGAGCAAACTATTTCAAATTAGCTTGCTTAACGCATTTTAAAAATCTCTTTCACTTTTCATTTTTTGGCCCATGTGAACTGAAGTTATTCTTCATGTTTGCTCCAAACACACCCATTCTTGAGACAGTATCTGATTTCTTCTCCCTCTATTCCCACAGAACAGAAACTCTTTCTCGAAAGGTGTGGGCATTCATTCCCTTTCTGGGGGGCTACCCAGCCAGGCCCTATGCTGGACATCTGGACACAAATCAGTTGTGATCCCAAACCCAGCAGAAGGTCCACATGTTCCACCACGTCCGCTATCAGCACCATCACTCCCCTTGTATTCATCTACCTTTCCCTTCCAGACCCTCACCTGCAGGCCATGAGGACTGTCTTATGGGCTCTAAACTGCTCACGGCTCACCACTATGACAACATCAGTCAAGATGTCCCGGCTCCGGAGGCGATTAAGGTTGAGAAGAACATCACTGGCATGGCGGGTGAACTGGATACAGCTATCAGCCGGCGAGGCCATTTTGTCTTCACCTGCAAATAAGGAGTCAAAATCTTATTAGTTAACCAGAGCTAACCAGAACATGAAGTGCAAACTGAGACCCCTTGTGTTTGGTCTTTAAGTAATTCATGGCCCATCTCTGGGCATTACTGTTCACATCTATAAAATGGGGAGAATAATTTTTATCCAACAAATCAGCATAGAAAGCCCTTTATAGAAAAGGGGAAGGGAATGAATATTGTTGAGTGTTTTCCCCACATACCAAATACTCTACCAGCATTGAGAGGCAGTGAGTGTATGACAGGAGAGAGAACCAGGTTTTGAAAGTTAGCATACTAGCGTGACCTTTTTTTAGCTGTGTGACTTGGAGCTGATTGCTCCATGTTTCTGGGCTTTGGTTTCCCAAAATGAGAGTAGTAATACCTATGTAGTTGTAAAATTAGAGATATGTGCCTGATCTATAAGCCTAGGTTCTGAAAAATTGTAGCTATTCTCATCAGTATCTAATTTCTCCTCTATTAGGCTTTAGAATTATCTCCATGCTCCAACAAGCACCCAGCACATTGCTAGTGGATAGTAGGTGGCTAAATTAATTTGAACTAAGAAATAATTTGGGGAATGAATGATGACACAACAGTGGTTAAGACAGTCTAATGCAGGGCTACAGGATGAGGGCTGGGAGTGACAGAGAAGGAATAAGCAATCCTTCACCTATCTAATGAAAAGTGGCAAAGTCCACAGAAACATATGCATTGGCAAATTCAAAAGAAACAGTTTCCCCACAAAATGTTAAGGCATATAATTCAATTTACTTACCCAATGCCTTGATTCACAGTCCAAAATTCTGCTTAAAACCTGCAGGGAAGAGAAAAAAAACAAACAAACAGAATTCGATTTAATGAGTGTAAGATTGTCCACTATAGTCTTATTTTAGGATGCACGTGGTTAGTTTTACTTTGATAGCTGCAGCCTGCCAGCTGGTGCGGTTTTACCATAAGCTAGGAAACAGTTTTCCAGCTCTGCTCTTATGAAAACAACAGGCACCCAAAGCCATGCGATAATGTTTATACCCTGAGTACTGGGGATATGGTACATACATTAATTGCATATACATCTACACATATGTTTCCTTTCTCAATGTAAACAATGTTCACTACCTCAAAGCGAGTGCATTTGTGGGAAAGAAAACATTTAAAGAAAGAAAAAAAAAATCAGCATTAATAAGGATGACCATTCAGGGGCCTAAAAACGTTGGACGCTTTTGAAACCTGCTAATATATTACTTTTTAAAGCCTTAGAATGATTCCACAAGGCCAACAAGGTAAAGCTCTTTATCCCAATTTCTCTGGTGACAAAACTGAGACTCGGGTTCAAGTGGTTTTCCAACGACAAAACGGCCAGGCAGTACTTCCTGACTGTCTGAAACACTGAAGACTGAATCTGCAGAATACAACTGAGGTGGCCTAGCTATGCTTTTCTTAAGGATCTTTGCCTTCTGTTTAAAAGTTTCCTCTCCCTTCCCGCTTGGGTCTAAGACAAAATATACTGCCACAATCTTGCAAGTTTGTGCTTCCCCCTGCTGGTTAAAATATTTAATTGTTTGATTTAGCTGAGAAATGGCCAGGGACACTAATGAAATTTGTACCTTCTCCAAGTTGGTTTCTTTAAAACAAAATAATTTAAAAGTACAGGTGGAAGACTCTCATTTATGACAGTATATGGGCTGCAGAACAACGACAGAAAAAAAAAAAAAAAGCTATCTTAGCCCTCTTCCCCACTCCCTTTTAAAAAAAAGCTTAGGCCTTAGTTATTTTCCAGGTAAAGGGGCCCCGAGGCCAGGGAGGTCTTGTTAGACCACATAGATGGTGAATAGCCCAGCCCTAGATCTTCTGGCTCAAATTCCTGACCCTTTCCAAATTGGCCTACGTGCTGTAGAACATGCAAGACAGCACCCTGACGTGGGTGAATCTCATTTTTAAGTTCCTTCCCCCCACACAAACACTTTGCCCCCATTCCAGGCTGCTGAGTCTTACCAAATGAGCACTAACATGAGAGGTTTCCTTGAGTCTGTAACCAAACACTCTGACAATTCTCTGTGGTCCCAAGTGCCCGTCACTCAATCTCATCGGCTTCAAGGTTAGGTGTGTATGTATGTGAGTGAGTGGGGATAGGGGGTTAGAAAACGGGGGAAGGGAGAGGACAGAAAAAGACAAAAGAACCTATTTCCTCCTCTCCCTGTTCCAACTCAAAATAGCCAGAGAGAGATAGACTAAATTGATCCTAACAATCGTTCAATTATTGGTCTCCAGTGAAAAAGAATGCTGAAGGCACACGTGAGGTTTATTTATAAACCCGCTCCTCTTCCCTCATGGAAGGGATCCCTAAACACGTCTGTAATACCGAAGGCTGTCCTCCAGCCAGCTGCAACCGCCAGCTCTCCAGTGGATTTCCAGTCACACACCTTTGGACCACAGGAAGCCCAGATTTGCCATTTCACCTTGACACTTATCAATGATTCACTCCAGATTTGGATTGAAACAAACAAAGCAATTCCCCCTGGGTCTGCTATCAGCCACACTCCTCCAGGCTGGGCACCTTTCACCCTAAACCTCTGCCTGGGTTGTCCCAAAATAAATGCACCTACACTAAGGTCCATGTCCTTGCTAAGTCCACTCCTTCCTACTGAGCTCTGTCTCAGGAGGCGCCACAGTGAATGACTATGCGGGTTATGGTGGGTGTGGGTGACAGACTTCCCTCTCGGAGCTGCAGGTGTGGAGGGACCACTAGCATTTGGTTTGTGTTTGGGTTTTTTTTTTGTTTTTTTGTTTGTTTGTTTTTACAGGCCACTCAGCTCCTTCCAGTCCATTATTGTATCTGATCCTCATTAACAGCCCTGATTTACTGGGGAGGCTCCAGGGAATAAGCCTTGCCCAACATCTCAAAACCAATCACCAGCAAGCCCTGGACAAACCTGTCTGCTAGCTTCAGAAACTCACCAGCGACACACACACACACACACACACACACACACACACACAAGATTCATGCCACAAAAACAACCAAGAGATCAGAGCTGTCCAGGAGAAAGTGACAACTGCAAGGGCCCAGACCTGGACTCCTCTGAATCCAGCCCGCCCCAGCCACAGAAACTACCAAGTGAGAGTTAAAAAAACACTCACACCAACCAAGTGAGAGTTAAAATTTGCCTTTTCCTGCCCTCCCCCCCCTCCCTACAAACAATCTCTCTCTCTCTCTCTCTCTCAATCTCTCTCTCTCTCTCTCTCTCTCTCTCTCTCTCTCTCTCTCTCTCTCTCTCTCTCTCTCTCTCTCTCTCTCTCTCTCCCCTTTGGTGTTTAAATTTAAGCGCCCTCAGAAGAAAGGCAGAGAGAGAGAGAGAGAGAGAGAGAGAGAAAGAGAGAGAGAGAGAGAGAAGGTTCCGGTGACAGCGAGCCAATACAAAGACCCCATCACCCCATCCCTTCCCTCCTCCGTACACTTGGTGGCCCCTGGGCAGCCCGGTCTTCTCGCTCACACACACCCCAGCCCCGCGCGCGGGCGCAAGCCCACCCCGCTCCACGGTACCTGGCTGCCAGGGCGGCCTGCCCACCCGGGGGCGCCGCGCCACCGCCTCTGCCCATCCGCCTCCGAGTGCCCGCGGGCTGGGCGGAGGCGCCGCGGGACCGCCGTGGCAGCCCTCAATGTGGTGGTATTCGGGCAAAACTTTCCGTGCACCTCGGGAACTAACATTGTGTGTGCCTCTTTCTTTTTCCTGTTACGCCCGCCCGTCAAGGCAGGGGGCAGTGAGGGGAATGGCTCAGCCCTCTCCTTCCCGGAACGCAGTCCGTCTCCGCTCTGCGGAGTTCACGGAACGCTCCCGGCTCGTCGCCGACTCCGGCGAGAAGTAACTTTCCAGGAAGCCGCGGGCCCCCACGGCCGCCGCGGGAGGGATCGCCGCCTGGCCGCGCGGGCTGCTGGGGATTCACCCGGACGGGGGCGGGTGGGGGCGCCCCGCTCCCCTCCAGGCTGGCGGGGAATGCGGACACTTTCCCCTAAATCCGCCGGCCGCGCGCATCCACCCAGGGACTGACAGCTCCCGAGTCCTACCCTTCTCCGGACAGTTTTACTAGAATAAAGGGGGGTGGTTAGGCTAGTTAGTTAGCAGAGCCGACCCTAGACGCCAGGATTTGGGGTCTAGTCTGAAGCTCATTTCGTAACTTCAGGTTGCCCAAGTCTGGCATTTATTTGCCTGGGGCGTCTCTCTCTCTCTCTCTCTCTCTCTCTCTCTCTCTCTCTCTCTCTCTCTCTCTCTCTCTCTCTCTCTCTCTCTCTCTCTCTCTCTCTCTCTCTCTCCCTTCGCTTGGCCCCAAATTCCCTTTTTAAAGAGGATAGTTAGGCGAGGCGTCCAGGCCTGCAAGGTGGAGGGCTCGGGGTCTCCGTGCAGCGCACCCCAGCCGAGTTGGAGAAACCCTACACCGATAGCCCTTCCGCCCACGTTGGCAAGTAGGGGAATACAGCTCGGCTGGGTTTCCGCCCCAAGCCTTTGAATAAAGAGCTGCCAGGCCGAACCTGGCAAGGTTTCGGTTTTTCCGAATTCTATTTCTCTGAAAACCCGTTAGAAACAAGGTTGGGACTCAGGAGAGGCCAGGACGCCGACCCCGCCGCGTGCGCGCGCGCTCCAAGGTGGCCGCGCCTTCCCAAAGCTTCCCTGGGAATTGTAACCCCTGGCGCCATCTCCCATTTATGTTCCAAGAGGCGCTTTGTGGGGGAGCTGGGACTGGGGTGCCGGGGATGCGAAAGACGCAGCCTTTCAAAGCCACAGCTGGGTCTTAAAACTGGCTTTGGTGACACCCGGCGCCGTGCCGCCAGTCAGCGGCGGAGTTAAGGTCCCTTCCTCACGACTGGGCCTCTGCAGCCTCCCGCTTTGAGGCTTTCTCATTCCTTCGCCAGGTGGAATATACTGGTGAAAGCGAAGGCTGACATTTAATATGGGATGGGGTGGGGGTGTGCATACAGGAAGGGAAGTTAAAATCAAGTAAAGGCACTTATTGGGAATTAGGAGTCCCGTAAGCATGTCTCGCCGCTACTGAACACTAGAGGGAGCCTTCCCCACAGGGCTGGAGACCAGCCATCCCTCGTCGCCCCGCCCCTTCTTCCTTCCCATTGACCTAGTTTCGACAGTCTCGGGAGGAGACCTCGGTCCTCCACCCCCCGCCCAATCCTGGCCTACCGTTGGCTTATTGGTAATCTAATAACTCAAATAACTCGGTGAGAGATCCAAAGGAGAATGTGGGAAGCACTGTGTAAGGGAAGGGACGAGGAATTTTAATAAGGGTGAGAGCTGAGCAGTGAAACCCTGATCGTTGGGTTTCTGCAGGCGGAGCGCTGCCTTTCTATTCAGCATCTCAACTAAAGTAACAGCGCGGGTCCAGCCCCAGGGGTCCCACAGTAGGTGGTGGATTCAAAACTGCGGAGTTGTTTTTGTTCAGTGTGGGACTCTCTTCCAGCTTTTTATTCTTGGGGTGGGAGGGTGGGGAGTCGACAGTAGATGAAAGCCAATTTGATACTGCGGTGGCCTCAGCAGGGCAGTCGTGTTGGGTGCCCGAGGTCCGAGGTGTTCGGGGACGTTATGTCCTAACTTCCTATCACGTTTCTGACAAAAGCGCTCTTTTAAGCTTGCAAACTTCTAGGAAATGCAATAAAGCAGAGGGATGTGTTTTATCAGCAAGATCTGCAGAGGAGCGGCAGAAGGGACGCTGCCCCATGCTTCCAGCTTGCTGGAGACAGCCTCCCAGAAAGGTCCGGCAGACTATGCCAAGCAAACCACGTCCCCGAGCAAAGATATCTCTCCGCCATCCGGGTTGGGCCGCGCTCGGCTTCTGCAAAAAAGGCCTGCGGGGGAGGGAAAAGGCATGATCTTCCCAAGCAAACAATGCCTTTAAAAAACCCGATCTGGACCGAAGTCAGCCAAGGTCTTTATTCGCGTTAATGAGGATGGAAGGCACTAACTGTCCTTGGAAGGCGATGAGTCAAACTTGACCGCTCTTCGAACACGTCCCCAGATTCATTTCCAACCCGAACAGAGGCGCGTTTCTCCGGCGCGGCCTCCAACAGCTCCCCCAGCGAGAGAGGCTGAACTCGATTCCTCTGCGGACCGGGCGGTAGAGACCACAGCGTCTCCGCGGCTGTGCGGGAGGCCGCCGCTAGGGGCCGCTAGGACACCGGCGCACGTTTGCCATCTTAAGTTTTTAACTCTCAGAAAGAAAAAGTGCTAGGAAGCGGCTGTGGCGCAAATTCTAGTGAGGATCACACTCTGCCGGTCGCTATGACCCATCCACACAACTGATTTCTCTCCGAGCCACTAAGCAAAGTTTAGAAAGAAGAGGCTACAGAGGAATTTCAGGATCCAAATATCAGCCTCAGGTGCTGCAAGAATGCATCTCCGCATGTCCAGGACTGGGCCTGAGTCACTCCCTAACACATGCCTCCCCACCCCACCCCACCCCCTCAAGATATGGGCCCCCCCACCCCCCACTCCTCAGCACAACTGTAGGCGTTTCGTGTTAGTTATTGAAAATCTTAGGCCATAATTTATAAACCAATTCCTCCAAGACAGCTGGAGAACCATTTTCCACCTTTAGTGACCTAAGAGGTTAGAATCAAGGCACTTTGAAGGCTGTTCCTTCTTTTACATACTTCAAAGGAGTGAAGGTAAGCTTCCCTTTGACTTCCAGTCACTAACCTGGAAATTCAGAGACTTAAAATCTGGCCTGGATTATGTAGGTATCTCACTATTACAGGTCCCCTCATCAGGCCTGTTTTCTCAACTGTAAAGAGTTGTATGTCCTAGAGCCCCCATGGCATCCCTCCAATACGAATATCGCCCTTTCCCCCCCTCCTACCCCCCGCCGGAGAGGCAATAGCAATATGGAGGTAGTGTGGAGTTCTTTCCAGTTCTTTTACTTTTACTGTTCTCTTCTTAGAGGCAGATGCCCATCACTAAGCAATCTTGGATCGGGCAAGCATCCCGAGGCTTTATAATTTTCATGCATCTTATCCAAACTTTGGACGTCGGATGCCATCCTCACTGGAGGCTGTCCTCCCTGCCAGTCCTAGTACCAGGTTGGGAGACTTGGGGAGAGGAGAAGTGACGCGATCCACCCACCGCCCAAAGCTGGAATCTCAGCAAGACCTATCACTAGGTGGCAGGCTCAGTCAGTCTGTCTGAAAATCACTGCGCAGCTACAACCTTCCACACCCAACTACCCCCCCCCTTTTTTTTGTCTGTTAGGGGGAGGGAGTTGCCATCATAGGCCAAGCTGGAAAACACTTAATTTACTAGATGTATTCTTTTTTCTTCGCGATGCTCACGCCTCTAGCAACCACAACACATGATCTGGAGTTTGAGTTCTTGGAGTAGACTGGTTTTTCCAGCCGGAAAGGCTGAAAGTATTGAAAAGGGAAAGCAAGGGTGCACTTGTCTTCAAAAAAGATCATCAGAATAGCACTCCATGGCATTTAGAAGAGCTCCCTGTCAAGCACTGGGCGACCAGCAGAGGAAGCCTAGAATAAACTCCTGATCCCCCACAAAGAAAGCGGACCCTGGAGGTCAACTGCAGGGTTCCCCCCAGGCTTACAGCGCTCCCAAAATCCGGGAGAGTGGGAGTGGTCTTTTGATGGGACCACTGATCTGAGGCGGGAGTCGAAGAGGATTGGGAGAAGCCTCTCCTGGGGCGCAGACAAGCCGGCACCCTCGCTGGGATCCCTGCGGCAGCGTTCCTGTTCCCACTAGTTGCGCAGTGCAGGGCACCAGCATGCGCCACACGCTAACTTTGGGCTGGCTGGACTCCAAACCAAGACACAGACCAGATAACCGTGGCCCCGAGCAATCAACCCCCTAACCTCACTCCTAAATCTCTCCTCCCTCCCCCCCACGCACACACCACCATCACCGCCAGCAAAACTACAGAGCTTCCAGTCATTGCGGATTTTAACACTAACATATTCCTTCCTATCTAAACGTCAGACAACAGAATTCAGGTGCCCTGAGAAGTCAAGTCCAAAAGAGAACGGGGGCTATCTCCTCCAGAACTCCCTTGCTTAAAGCCAATTAGGCAACCTTCCCCTCTCTCTAGTTCCTTCTCTCTCTCTCTCTCTCTCTCTCTCTCTCTCTCTCTCTCTCTCTCTCTCTCTCTCTCTGATTGGAACTACTTTGCTTTTTATACGACACCATCCTAGCTGAAAATAAACTTTTCCTCTTCCCATTTGAGAAATCAACTGCAAAGTCCTTTTTTTTAAAAGTTAGTTTTATATTGTTAAAGGCCAAAAAAATAAATGAATTCCTCATAAGGTCATTTCACAATATTTCTCAAATTCTTTGACTTGTGCACCCAGAGTCTCACCCACCGAGGGGTGGCGCTGCCACACCACCTCCTCTGAACCTTAAGTTTTTCATAACAAAGTGGCTTGTGAGTGTGGCTACCCCAAAGGAGAGGGAAGGAAGGATTTTGACATCTAGTCATGGCTAACATTTACTCAACCAATAACTGGAACTCTTCGGGGCTCAGGAAAGGACAGCTTAAGAATTTAGAGTCCCACCCCTGTCCACCAAGCCCAGAAGTAATTGGAAGGTCTTTTCACGAAAGCATGGGATAAAACCCTTCCAAACTGAGCACAGAGGCAAGGCCAGCTGGAGAATTCCCCCTTCCTCTGGCTGCCTTCTCCTTCCAGTTGCCTAGTTTTCACAAAGAGCTTCTGGCCTTATTGTCACAATCAACAGACCCTTAGAATCAGCCAATGCTTGAGCCTGCAGTATTAGAAAGTCTTCCAAATAGTATGATATTGGAAACTACTATTTATAAATGGGGGAGGGGAGACACTTCTCATCTACAGGTTTCTATTTTGGCCTGAAGACTCAACTGCAGTCCTTTGAGCAAGGGAATGCTCATTTCCTGGTAACCTCTTGCCATGTCTTCCTCCCCCAGAGACACATATCTCCTCTCTCTCTCTCTCTCTCTCTCTCTCTCTCTCTCTCTCTCTCTCTCTTAAAAAGTATATATTTTAAAGCAAGAATGTGATTTCACCTCATTCCTTTGAACTCATGTTTGCTACCTCCAGGAATAGCGTGTGGACTAGGGCCAGATGAACTTCAACTTGGGCTGCAGATTTACGAGATTCTGTTGCAGTGCCAAAGGCTCTTGGTAGTAAATAGTGAGCAAAATAGATACCTGTCTCCTGACAGGTCTTGCCTCCCCCCACCCCCTATATTTTTTAAGTTATTTATTAAAACCGCACACACACCTTGCAAAGAAAAAGGGAAACTGGCAGTCTCTGTAGAGGAAGCCGGTGGCATCGCGCAGAGCCACAAACTGTATTTCTAAACAGCCCTTTCCCTGGTTCCCTCTCTCCTGCCCCACTTTTTTTCTTTCTGGACAGTAAAAAAAGAGAGTAAAAATGCATCTACTGATATTCACTTATTTAAAAAAAACATTACAAGATTTTTCTCCTGGAAACTATAAACTGACTCAGTAAACAGCTCTGGACTTTCAGCCCACTGTTTAGGGTCGTTCTCCCTGCTCCGCTGTCAGGACCCCCACCGCCAAGTCTTAGCTATTGGGAGAAGGGATACAACAGTCAAAGGCTCTTTTTCACTCTTGTAAAAATCTGTTGTGTTGTGTTCTTGTTTTTGTTTTCATGGGGGAGCTTTTAAAACTCATGATTGCAACACCAGTTCCATTTTTTTTTCCACCAGAGTTCCAATAATACAGCATCATACAAGGCAACATAACCCATAACTCTCCAGAAATTTACCATGGTCAGGCCGCTACCATCGGCAGCGGGCCGGCCCCTGGCTCCTTCGGTCCCTGGGAGCAGCAGCCGACTTCCGAGGCTCCAACTCCCAACCAGATCCCGCCCCGGGCCGCCGCCGCCGCCGCCGCCTTCTCCCTTGCCTAGTCCCTCGAGAAAGAGCCAACAGGTTGCAAATCCAACCAAACCTCACGTTCCGATTTTGCAAAATCACTCACAAAGATCTCCCTTTCGCGCCCGCGCCCCCTCCTCCCGCGCCCGGCCGCCCGGCCAGGACCACAAAGTGTTCTCTCCTCCCGGGTCTTGCACGCAGGAACGCGCGGGCTGGGGCTGTTTTGTTTTGGTTTTATCCCCACTCGCCCAGGGCAAGGACCTCGGTCATCTAAAGCCTAACGCCGGCCACTTCCCGGCCCGTCGTTGTCATTTTTACAAAGATCGCACCACGGGAAGAATAAAATGAAATGCAGGGACGCGGGGGAACAGCCATTGGGAGCTAACACCGAGTCACGCAGTAGCCAAAATAACAAAACACCGCGGCCGCCAAGAATTCCCGCCACCTTCCTTCTCCGCCAGGCTGCCTCGGGAAGGTTCCCGGAGCCCCCGCACACGGAGCAGCCCCGCAGGTGCACACGCGTCCCCCTGGACCACCTCCCACCCACCCCCAAACCCCGGTCCCGCCAGCAGCTTCTCTCCCTGGGATGCGAGAGGGAGCGCGCGCTGTTCCCGACTCCCTGGTCTGCAACCAAGAAAGCATAATTTCCAAAGTATTCCACATCCCCGCCCCCAGGCGAGCCAAACCTCCCCCAAAACACAGAGAAAGGGGACACCCAAACACTCGCATCTCCTTAGGGAAGATCACGGCTCAGAACGGAAAAAAAAAGAAAATAAAAAAGTAGAAACTATACTTCATACGGATTTTTAGGGGGATTAAAAACAAAACAAAACAAAAAACAACAACAACATTTTTCCTCCAAAATCTCAGCTCAGAGGCAGCGAGTCTAGAGGACCAAGGGCGGTGGAAGGGAGCCAGCGGGAAGAGCGAGCGAGCGAGCGGGCGGTCTCCCTCTTTGCCGCCCGGAGTTACGGAGAAGGACGGGGAGGGGATGGAAGAGAAGGCCGGGGAGAAGGCGGAGGGAGGGAGGGAGGGAAGCCGAGGCAGGAGCGAGGTTAGCGAGGAAGGCAGCTTGCAAGCCAGAAAAAAAAGAGGGGAAAAACACAGCCGCAGGAATCCAGCCCAGATCACAAGCCGTACGCAAGCAGGCAGCAGCAGAGAGAGCGAGAGCGAGAGCGCGGAGAGCGCGGGCGCGCGTCCTCCCCGCGGTCCGGGGCCAGACAGCAGCCCCCAGACTTGCCCCAAGCACCCCCCAAACACTGCCTGGTCCTTTCTGCTCCGGCCGCCCCCTAACTGTCCTCCTTCCTCTCCTCCACCTCCTTAAAATAAAAAAAATAAAAATAAAAAAAAATAAAACAACACAAGGGAGGGTGGCAAAAAGCCTCCCCACACCGGCCGATTCACTCAAGACAAGAATCAAATAACAAATACATTAGAAGAAAAAAAAAATCTATATCCTAAGAGTGGGAGAGACATGGGACTAATCATAGGCATTTATTTTAACACCTGACAGCTAGAATAAATAAATATATATACACATTCATATCAATAGATACACATAGGAAACTTGGAGCCAAAGCATTTGGCAAGAGCGGAAAAAAAAAGGAATTAAAAGGTAAAATAATGATCATGAGCAGCGGCGGCGGCGGCAGCGGCACCAGCGGCAACAGTGGCGGCGGCGGCGGCAGCAGCAGCAGCAGCGGCGGCAGCAACAGCAATAATCACCTGGTGTCCGGCCTTTCCTAGAAACTTCTTGCATCACCACTTCTAAGAACCCCAGTTCTAAGAATCAACAGAGCTCAATTCTCGGAATTTGAGCTTCGGACTTTACCACTGCCGCATGGAAGGGGAGGACACTGTGTCAGAGCTGCGGGACTTTTGCCTTCTTTTGCCAGTTAAAAGCATTCAAAGAACAATAATTTTCCACCTACCGGCATATTTAGGGGTTCTCATGGGCTGGACGCCTCTGATTTGGAGGTTCTGGTCCCAGGCTAAAGGGGGCGGACAGGGGACCCCCCTCCCCGGACCCAGGACTGTGGTACAGCCTGCTCCGCCAGCGTCACGTGGGCAGCCCCTCTGTGACGTCGGCGCCTTCGCTGTAGCAAAGCTCGGCCTCTGGAATTCTGAGAACTAATTTGCTATTCGGTGACATAAGAGGGGGGAGTGCGCTTTTGCTTTCCTGGGGTCTGGGGCTCATTCCTCCTCTTCTTGCCCATAAACTCAGCTCCTGGAACTAAATCACACGGAAAGGGGAGCGAGAGATCCGAACCGTGGGCAAAAGTCTGTTGTCTATGCCAGGTTTAGAAGCGAGTGAGAGAGAGAGGGGGAAAAAAAACCCAAATCACCACAGCTCTTTGCAGCTAGCATAGTAGGCACTACGAGAAAAATATTTGCCAAGCAGTTTTTCTTCGGTGGGTTCCTTTGCTTTATTTTTATTTGGGGCCGGTTTTGTTTTCCTTGTCAATGTGATGGGCTGGGATTTTTTTTGGTGGTTGTCTGTTGATGGTTTTCGGATTTTTGCTTCTGATGTTTGCCTTCTGCAAGTTTGTGGTGTTACGTAAATCGTAGGATCCCGCAAAGGTTGGATCTGGGTGTCGTGGTGTGTGTGTGTGTGTGTGTGTGTGTTTCCCTAATCTCTCAAGCCTTTTAAAGATGTGCTATTTTAATACCGATGCTATTACTGAAAGAAGCTGAAATTTTTGGTTGTATGTAAGCAACCCAACCCCCACTTTTTTTTTTTTTTTTTTGGTGCAATTTTGTTTTTCCCCTTGGACTTTTACTGAGAGGAGGCTCTCCTGCACTTAAGTGCTGTTCAGAGGATTTGTTTTGTTTGGGTTTGTTTCTTTCCAGGACAGCAAGTGGTGGGTTTACTCTTTCTGTTATTGTACACTTAGGACATTTTTTTGCTGCAAAAACCTGTGTGTATTTAAGTATGTGTATGCATGTGTTTTACAAAATTCTGTGAGCCAAATACCTGTTTTTGTTTTGCTTTTTTCCTAAAGTCTTGATTCCTCCCCATCCCCCACCCCCACTCCTGTCTGGTTTCAAGGTCGTTGTCAAAAATCTCTTCTGTCTGTGTTCTAAGACATCAGCCGGAGGGAATTCTAAAGGCCTGCCATGCCAGAATCACAGATACTGCGCGTATTTAGAACAGACTGTGCTACAACCATAATGCGCTGCACGCAGCACAGTTCTCAGCTTTCAAGCTCAGTTGGGAGGAGGAGGAGAAAGGGGAAATCTTTCTTCCTTTCTTTCTTTCTTTCTTTTTTTTTTTTTTTTAAAGGCAAATGCAGTGCAGAATCATTTCACTGTGGGCCTTGGTTTGTTTATTCAGAACTGCCAGTTTCCCTATTTAAATGTTGGTTGGGTTTTTTCCCCCCTCCTACTCATCCCTGAATGAGGGAGACTCTTGTTTCTTTAATGTCTCTCTCTTAAAAAAAGGGGTGTGAGGGGAAAATAATATTTCAGATTCCTCAAGAATTAACCCAAAATGTTTGGACCAGAAGCAGATTTCAAAGGTCAGGCTGTTCTGAGCTTTGGCTATGAGAGTCCTTCCGGCAACTCATTAAATTACAGACGAGTTCTTAAAGGTTTCACAAAATTTCTGCGCACATTAATTTCCAATAACGATATCATCCAAAATAATCGACCTCTCCATCCCTCCAATTTGTGTTTATAATGGAGATGTGAGCAGAGCTAGGAAAGATTGCTGGCTGTTTCCTGGGATATTTGGGATCTCTTTCCCAAAAGAAATGTATTAGAAGTTCATATCTATTGCTCACAATGCTGTGGTTGATGCAGCCCCCTTTTTTTAAAGGCTATGTTGGGGGTTTTAGTACCAGAAGAGGTCTGAAGGAGGTGATTCTTTTCTACACAGTCTGGAGCTTAGGAAATATGCAGGTCCATCGCTGAGAAATCTGAATGGTTTAATACTTATTTACAGCCTCTTGGAAAAGCATGTCATGTGACAGATTTTTGAAAAATATGCATAGGCCTAATTCTATCACTATTGTTGAAGTAAACATTTTACCCTTAAAGACATATGATATTGTCAAGTCTCAGATTCATTCTGCCAGAGGCTTATCCCTTTTTTGTTTTTGTTTTTGTTTTATCATCTTGTTACCTCTCATTTTTAAAGAGTTTTAAATGAATCCTACTGGATTCAAAATGACACCCCCAAGTTTACTGAAGGGGTTTTCTTTGTGTATTTATATGTGTGGTATTTTTTATTTTATTTTATGAGCAATAAGAACTTTAGGGGCTCTTGGGAGTATCTATATGGTTTGGAATGTGAATTGTATGGATATGCCTTATTATTGATAGTACAACGAGGTTTTATGATTTTTGAACATTTTTCTTGCAAAAGTTGCCTTCTGGTCTCATTGGTCCCTCCCCCAACCCTAACTTTTAACACATTCAAGCTTGTCCCTTCTGAGTTCTCTTTGCTACTTCAATCTTAGCCCCATGGGGGCGCTGCAGAGCAAAGGGAAATCTGCTCCCTCTGGCAATAGAACTAACACGAATGGGGGCTGGGAAGGAATTCACCCTTCTTGTACCTCAGTCCTCTTTAATTCTCTGCAGGGAGCACTAGGACAGAGAACCCCACCAGGCTTGATTTAGAGATGATTAACCTCATCACCAGGGACCTCAAAGCTTCTCAGCATATTATTTCTGAGACCAAGTTCCAGAGTCCTGCTTTCATTTCTTCCTTTCTTTCTTCCTTTCTTCCTTCTTTCTTCCTTTCTTTCTTCCTTCTTCCTTCTTCCTTCTTCCTTCCTTCCTTCCTTCCTTCCTCCTTCCTTCCTTCCTTCTTCCTTTCCTTCCTTCCTTCCTCCTTCCTTCCTTCCTTTCTTTCTTTCTTTCTTTCTTTCTTTCTTTCTTTCTTTCTTTCTCTTTCCTTCTTTTTTCCCCCCTGTCAAATCAAACAGTTTACCCTCAAAGAAATTGGTCAAAGCAGACCATTACAAGAAAAAAAATTATTGAAAATATTCCAAAGGTAGAGATTTACTTTTAGGTAAGCCCCTTCCTCTCTATTGAATGAGTAGTAAGGAAAAATTGGGCACCCACCTCTCATTTTTTTTTCAATTCCTAGGAATAAACTTTATCAAATTTTATACCAATTATATTTCTTCCAGCATGTTCTTTCTTCTCTCATTTTAATCACTCCCCGTTAATAACCAGTTTGCATCACCATGTGAGTCTCCCTCACTACGGCAGTGCTACCGTTGTAGGATTAAAGATAGGATTGACTTGAATATATTAAAATTCTTTTAAATCATCCTGAAGGAACTCTAAAGAGAGATTCCTTGTCTGGAGTCGTATGTGTGATTCCTGGCGATATATGGAGGACTGTGTATCAACCAGTCCTATGATTTAATGACTCTACTGGTTATTAATACTCTGCATAGGGGACCAGCGCAGCCCCTTTGCTCGGTGGACTGGCCATAGTAATAGGTTCCTAATTGTAGCTAGTGGGTAAATATAAGCTTTGTTATAAAACAAAATATTGTGGTCCTAATGTTACAACTAGTTAAGGGAAAGAACAGATTTTTGCATTCAGTTCTACTCATGAAATCTTCTTCACAATTCAGTCATAGCTGGAAAGGAACCTATTGTTGGAATAAACATTGTCTGGTCTCATTCTAAGGGGGCTCCAAACAGAGAAATTGTTTTCCCTGTTATAGATCTACTTGGGCAGATCTATAAATTACCACATTACAGAATTACAGACTTTCAAGCTGAAAGGAGCCTTGCCCATTAATAACACAACTCCCCCAGGTTTCCTTCTATCGGGAGAAGCTGGCCCTCAGTTGTAGACTTGCATGACCCCAGGAACACAGCTGAAAGGGGGGTCTTTGTGTTTTTATGTCCTGTGTCATTTTAGAGAATCAGAGGATATGACTATCTGGATCTGGAGGAGGTTATCTCGTTTTCTGGCAGAGTTAGGGGAAGCAAGGCTGCTTAGGGCACTGTGTAAATTATAAAGTGGTTCTCAGAACAAACTCCAAATCATGAGGAGTATTAATGGTCATTTGAATTTGGTTATGCTTGCAACCTGTGCTGCCGTAAGTGACACTATTTTTGATGGATATGAGAGATGTTATCTACCTGACATGAACAATTTTACCTATTCATTTTATTTCAAATCCTTCATTTAGAGCTATGGCAAGCAAGCTCAGTCTATTATCATTGGAGAAAAAAAAGGAGCTTTCTTGATATTTTTCAGAAATAGGGAGCAGAAAGTTTTGAGACATAAAAAAAAAGAAGAAAAAAAAGATGATATCCAGCCACTTACTTTCTGAAAAAGTGTTGACGTTTAATTTTGATCCATATGCTTCCTGCTTTCAGCCTGTATTATTCTAAGACTTTTTTCTTTTCATCCTAGCTCAGAATTTTCCCCCCAAACACTGATTTTTCCACACTTTCCCCATTTACATGAAATGGAAATAAATATCGGGAGCTTAAAATAGAGAAGTATGGGGGAGCATGTAATCATTTGTTTATTGCATTCGATCACTGTTTTGAATAGCAGGGTTTTCACTTCCTATGAAACCTTCGCATGAAGGAAAGCAGCAGCTGGACTCTGAAAAGGATGAGAGGAGGGAAGCGCTTGAGTGTTTGTAAACTCAGGGTGGAGGAGTTCTGCCCCATGCTGTACTTTGCTGTCTTTACTACTTAAGGCTGGAAGTGGAAAAACTTGATTTGCATGTTGTGCCTGAATTTTTTTTTTCTTTCTTCTCCACACCGCCCTCTGTACACCTGACCACGCAGAAGCCTATCTGAAGCCGGCTTGATGGCAGGGGAGAGCTGGAGAGCAGAAGAATGTGCAGAGGGAGGGAGTGCTTGGTACTTTTCCATTCACATCTCCACAGTGGCTTTTCTTGTTTATTTCAGCTTCCACCCGCAGGAACCTTTCTACTGCCTGAAATTCGAGTCATTAAACTGTTCCCTGTGGTCAGACTACAGATGTTTGGTGAATGTTTCCTACATGTCGGTGTCTAGGTTGCATATGTACCTATAGACACACACACAAACGTGTAACTCCACAGGGGCATAGTATGAGGTTTTGTGTGTGTGTGTGTGTGTGTGTGTGTGTGTGTGTGTATTTGCGGGAGGGGGGGGGCGGGGCGGGGGGGGGGGGGTAAGTGCGGGCACTGGATAGATTGCCAAAAAAGTCTTGGTTTCTAATTACGTTCTGCCTGGAAGTCCTTATGGGACCTAGAGCAAAACCACTTGTCAAGACTCAGTTTCCTTGACTATGTGAAGGAATAACCCAGATGATATGCATGATATCTATTTGTTCAAAATTCTATACCCATGTATCTAAATACATATTTACATAATTTTAGGGTGGGGGGCAGAGATGGAAAGGAGCTTTGTGTATTTGTGTACCTGGAGTCGGGGAAAGGGTTAGATTGTAAACTTCTAAGTAAAGAAGGCAATTCCAGAATCCTCACTTCTATCAATTTTTAACCAATTGTAGACCAAAGTCTGAGATTATGCTGAGTGGGTCCAAAAGCCATTTGAAGATTTCAAATGTTAGGAGTTGGAAGAGGCATTTTCTAAGACCTTATACTTTTGATCTCCAGCATTCAGAATCAGATGTGACAATTCCCAAGTGTTTTTTCTGCCCTAGAATTCTTCTGTAGTTTTGTTTGTTTTTGGAAACTGTCCTAGTTAATGATAGAAAGGAGATAAAACTTGTAAACTGGGCAGTCTTTAAGCCACTGAGCCCTGTGCATGTGCAAAAATTAAATATATCCTAATGTGAAGAGAGGAGAGAGAGAGAGAGAGAGAGAGAGAGAGATTGATTGATTCCTGGTAAGAAACTCAGAGGTAACCCAGCAATCACTGCATTGAATGTAATTATTTGAAGTCAGAGGAAATTATAGATGAGAGTTTGCCCTTAAAAAAAAAAAAAAAAAAAAAGCTTGACCTATCAGAAGAAACTTAAAGTCAATGAAAGAGATATTTTCTATAAAATTACTATTTTCTATATTTAAAAAAATATTTCCTATAATTTTAAAATCTTCATTCTTGAAAAATAAAGGTCTAAAAATTTTCAGATCTGATTGTCTAGATAAAATAAGGCCTTTAACAGCAGTGACCTCTGAAACATCACCATCTCTCCACTGGCTTAGACCTTCTGGAATATTATTCATACCCCATGGGCAAGGAGAGGTGGAGCTAGTTACATAATATACTAGATCCTTAGCAATTATCCAATCCAATTCTACTGATTTTGTATAATTAGAAATTGAGGCCCAAGCAGAATATATTTGCCTCATATACTGAATCACTGACAGAGCTGGATCCAGAATGTGGATGCTCTGGTTTAAATCTGGGCTATGATTTTTCCATGGCTTATCGTGGAAAGAGGATATGGAGTGGGTAGTTGGTAGCCCTGAAAAATGGCCATTTTCTGTGGCCTGGACTTCTGACATGATCTCTCCAGAGTTTCTCCATCGATTTTTTCATACATAGATGGATGGAAAGATCATTTTACACGTGTTTTGTGTTTGGGTCCCAGTATATGACTCAGTATATGATCCCCCACAGGCTCCTAAGGTACTGTGATTTAATATAGTTAATAAATCTATAATTTATGAATGGTACAATCATGTCATAGTTGAGTGTATGTTGAAGATAATAATTTTGCACTTAAATATCATTTGGCCTAAAAAACGATGCTGCAGTAGCAGTGAGCACACCAATGCAGATCATGATCTGATACATTCTCCAGTATTTGGAGGCAGGGCTTTTTGGACAAATGGCTGATTCTAGTTCTAGGCCTGGAGCAGGAAATACACAAAATTAGAATGGAACATCTTGTAGCATAGAGTAAGGAACTGTTAAAAACAAAAACAGTTTCAATGAAGGATATTTCAAAGAGACCCCAAAGCCACCTGAAGAGTTCCAATGGCCAAATTTAAAAAGTTTTGAGCAACAAAATAGAGTAATATTGGATTATAAGCCAAAGTATAAAATGAACATCCATGAATCCACACAGATATAAATAAATTATTGAATATATGAATAAATGGGAGAAAAGTGACAAATCTCCCTTATAAAAGAATTCCAAATAATTTATGTAGATATACTGTCTTCAAGGAGAGGAAGTATTACTCCTTACTTTAAAGTGTAAGCTGTGCATGGTGACTTCCTTCCAAAGAGGACAGTATGGGAGGGAGAGAAAGAGAGAGAGGAATTTTATGTAGACAAGCCTGCCAAACAGAGTACATCAACCAGGTCATCAAGGTCAACATTAATAGTGATAAACCATGGTGATTGTATCTACCTTTGATAGGAGGTGATGAAAAGGGTTCTATATCTATATGATCTCCCCATACCCCATTCTATTTGTGAGGAAAACATCAGATAATAGTAGAGCATCCTACAAAATACATGATCAGTACTCCTCAAAAGCATTGAGGTAAAAAAACAACAACAACAAACAAACAAAAATAAGAAAAACAAGGAAAGTGTGAAGTAGCCAAGAATAGCCTGAGGAGATATGACAACTTAATGTAATACAGTGATCCAGATGGGAGCATGGAATAGAAAAAGACATAAGGTAAACATAAGCAAACCTGAATTAATGATGGACTTAAGTTAATATGGTGTCAATATTGTTTTGTTAATTGACACAAATGTTCCATCATATCAATAAAATGTTAATAATAGTGAAAACTGGGCACATAGTTATTCTCTGTACTATCTTCTCAATTTATCTATATAGTTGGAGGGGGGAGTGGAAAATAGGGGCCTATCTTTATTTTCCCTTTCAATACCAGAAATCTCCAAAAAGTGAGCCAGGCCTCTCAACAACTGAGAGGGCTTGCTTCCCACCCAACCATGCCCCCAAAACAGAGTCATGAAAATAAGGAAGACTGTATTTATTCATTTAGTTTACTAAATTGAAAGCAATTTAACTAATTTCTGTATAAAGAACTAAGAGGAGAGCACTAGGGAAACACCAAAGGCCAAAGGTTGTCATGATGGTGGATGACTCAAGTGACCTTATAAATCCACTTATTCCAAGTCTCTTTGTGGAAACCTTCATGGAAAGAAGGCCTAGAAAAATCTTTTCATCAGTCCAAATAGGACAATAGAATTTGGGAATTCATCACTTAAGTTGCGGAAGCCTAAAGAGCTTTGTGGATTGTCTGCTCTTTCATTGTACAACTCCAATAGAACTTTGGATCTCATCAGAGTTGACTAGCAGAGTTATAACCCTGGGGTATCTAAAGAATTGATGACTGGAACTAAAACTCTAGAAATTTTTATTCATTTTCTAGATAAGATCCCATAATCTAAACTGGGAAGGTCAAAAGAGGATAATGGTTTACAAAGATCACCCAGCAAATTAGTGGAAGAATTAATTCTCATCAACCAGTTCATCTTGAATTATTTATTTTGCTTCAGTCTTCATTTTGGTAAACTGAGGACTATTACCTTGATAAACTGTACATTATTTTAGAAGTACTTCATTAATTCCTAGCCAATTGTCGGTTATCAATGGTGTTTAGTTTGAATGCTGCACTTAAGTTTCCAGTATCTTTTCCCGCTTCTGCCAGCTTCTCTGCCAAGTGGTTATAAAATCTTTGAATCAAACCTTATATTTACTATGGAGGCTGACATGTAAATAATTCTTAGTGAAATGCAGTGAGACTGAATTCTCTCATAGACCATTTTGGTTAGCATGACTCAATAATCTATTAGGTCATGTATCTCAAGAGTCATAAATATAGTAATGCCCTTTGACCCAGTTATTTTACTTCTAGGAATCTATCTTCAAGGCACAGTTCAACATATAGGGAAAAAGTATCTTTTATTGAATATATCTATATATCTATATCTATATCTATCTGCATTCAAGCATTATATCTAGCAACAAAAATTTTCAACAGCCTACATGTCCCATCATGATTTATTTGGGGGAAAGGGTGTTGGATGGAAAATAGTTAAATTATAATACAACTAATTTGTTAAAATTGGAATTGGGAAATACTTATAATAACAGGTGAAGTGTATATATATATATAGTGTAGGGACAAATAATATATGTAAGTAGTGTATTTGTAACTGTTTAACAATACTTTTCATAGAAATTAGACTGGTTACACATACACAATAGTACACAATTAACAAAAAAATATTTAAAAAGGCTATTTTAGGGTTGTAGGATTATGGATGAATATTTTCCTCCTTTATTTTTTTCCTTTATATTTCAAATTGTGTAGAGTTTATATATATTAATTTGATATATATCTCACAAGCTCACCCTTAATATAAATGGAAGAACCCTCAGTGAAGGCTTTTACCAGCAAACAATTACTTCCCTAATTTAGAGTTTTGGATTTTTGACCTAAAGTCAAAGCTTCCCACATCTCTAGGGCATAGAGCAAAAGTGAGAACTGCCCACTCACTCTTGGAGAAGACCTTTCACTCTGGGAGACACTTGTCTCCACTCCAACAAAACATCACCATCTTTGAGCATATTGACCGTAATGAGATTAAACAAATCCTGTAAATCTTTGATCTGTTTCCACACCCTGTTGGTTTTAGTATGCTTATCTTGTTTGTTGGTGTTTCATAGCATTTGCAAATGTCAAAGGGTTTCCTGGTTACTTCACTGTCTCTATGAAGCCACCCAGGAGCTCTCCTGGCAGATAGACTTTCATTGGCTCCTTCTGGGGCTCCAGAAGATGTGTTTTTTATTCTTATAACACATTTGACTAATGAATGCTAAGGAAAACAATGTAAAAATAAACTGTATCAATGTTGTTGTTTTTTTTTAGAGACTCATAAGACGATAGGAATTTTGGGGAGTTATACCTTATTTGAATCACTGTTCATCAACAAAGGCATGAGAGTAGACATCAAAATCTAGGGGGTGAGGGTAAGTACCATGGTTCAGACAAGCCCCTCTTCCCTTAAGCCACTGACTAATTCTTCATGCT